CAAAAAAAGCTAGAAGGCTGAAATTTTACAGAAGTATCCCATACTCATGTACGACCAAGAGGTTTCAAATTCAGATTCTTAGAACAATCCGGTCTCGCATTTGGGCGCACGAAAGTTTCAGCGGGAAAACTGTTAACTCGGGAGCGAGAAAAACTAGAAAGCTTGAATTTTAAAGGAATGTCCCCCACTCATGTGCGATTAAAAGATTTAAAATTCAGCTCTTCTCGTGGGATCTTTTTCGCACACCGGCAACTTTCTGCTTGTCGGGTTGCTGAAGCTGATATCGACGACTGATACATACAGCTACACAGTTAACTAGGGCCAGTATGTTTCCTCATATGTTGCTCTTTACCCTTTCCTTCTCTACCCCCTACCTTTGCTAACAGTTGCTGTAATATGGCAGTTAGTTCTAAATGCAAAATGTTGTAATATAGCAGCTCGTTCAAAATACAAAATCAATGTGTTTAAAAGCTTCAGCGAAGCTTCGAGACAAAATAAAAATTTTTAATAAAAATTTGAAAACAAAAATTTCATTAAAATTTCATTATCATAAGTTTTTGATCGCTGTTCGCAATCACTTACAAATATCCAGCTACTTTATTCCATCATATCAGGACCCTCCATATAGTCCTCCGACTTGCGTTTACGCTTCGACATAAAGCTGTAATGTAGCAATTCGCTCAGACTTCAAAATCGACAAATATACTCACACTCAGGAAATGGGAACGTATCCTGCATGCATCGAATGATATAGATCAGGCATAGGTAACCTTTTGGTGACATGTGTGCCTAATTTACATACTTAAACTTGCGGGCCACCTTTTAATAAAACCCAAGTAGCAAGGCATCAGGCTTGCCCCAGCGATCATGAGTTTTTGCACTAAACTTGACGTAGTCAGATCGCTAACAATATAAATGGTTGTTGGTTTACAGTTTAACTCGTGCAACTGATGTGCCTGTGTTTTGGCACTATCTTGCATACGGGAAAAAAGGCGTAGGCTGGGACGGTGATGTTGCATGTTGGCTTTCCTAGCTGCTAAGTTAAAAGTGGGTGACAAAGTTTAATCGCTCTTGAACACACACAACACAAACACGCTCTCAATATTATGTCTTTTTGCTTTTTCATAAGATGTAAAAACGCATCAAAACAAATAAGTTTTATCAGGCTGCTCAATCACTAAAAAAAA